AACGAGAGTTTCCGCGGAAGGGGTGTGCTTTCGGCCGTCAGCAGAGCCCAACGCATCCGGCACGTCGCGGAAAAAAGAATTACGCAAACAAGGCTGCGGGGGGTCGAAAAACACGGTGTAAAGGGGCGTCAACATAAATCTGGATATGTGCGGCGCGGACAGTCAGTGCCGGGCTGGGGGGCCGCGGGGGTGCAACCGCAGCAGGGCGGAGAGGGTGGCGGTGGCGCCGCAGCTACCCCGCGCACGGACCCACCCCTAGTCCGCGCGGCGCTACCCCGCGCCTCACCAGGCCAGAGGGAAGGGCCGCTCCACTGCTGTCGAAGAGGGAGTGCCGTGCGCCGTACCTTCCCGGGATGCTCGTCAACGACCTCCTCTGTGACGGGCTGCTGGCGCTTACCGGCCGGCGACGGGTTTGAGCCGTGAAGGGCCCGCCCTCGACGGGGCTGGGGGAGGGGGCGGAGGGGGAAGGGAAAGGGAGAGTCATTCGTCGGCGAGGTGCAGCGCCGGCCGGCCAGTCCAGTCGTCATGAGGTGGTGTCTCGCGCTGCTCGCGGCGCTGTGCGCGCTGCCGCGGCTGCCGGAGGCGCAGGCCGTCGTCGTGGACGTGCAGCTCGCCAACGAGGTCCCAGGTAAGGACGCGACGAGCGGAGGGGAGCTTATCGGTGATTAGCGAACAGGGGCATGATACGAGTGTGCCGGCTTACTCACAATCAAGACTGCAAATTTCCCACACATCGGGCGTTTTATTTATTGGTTAGCAGGAGGAGCAAAAGGGGGGAAGGTGTCCGGGGAGGATAGCCTATGGTGGCATTGTACTGACGGTCATCCATCAAGCTAGTGTCAAATTTATCATCTGCTCCCCGCACAATTTTTGTGCAAGTATTTAATTTCACAAAGTTTAACAACATAGGCCTCCGCTTTAATTATTTTGATACAAGTCATCCGCGCACATCCGCTAGAGCATGTGCAAGGACGGTAACGTGTAAAACGCTCGGGTCAGCAGCACAAGTGCAGCAAAACTGCTCCCATTATTATCGGCAGGGTAACGGTATGGGATTAGGCAGCTCTCCGGTCCCTTCCAGTCGGGGCCCGGCGCGCGGGCGCGCGTTCCCGCTCACCGGCGGGTACCGGGGCGGCGGCAGCCGGGCCGTACGTGCACGGGCGTGACCTACATCGGGGCGCGCGGGGCGCGACAATGGGATTTGTTTCGACACTCGCTCCCCTCCCGCCCCCTCCACCTTGGTGCATGTGCATGTTTTCACACCCCCTAGGAGACTTCCCGGTCCTGAGCGAGGCCGTGCTGGCCGACTCGCTCCAGGATGACGACGCGGACGCGGACGAGCGTCGCGTGTGGTTCGACGGCGAGGACCCGGCCCCGGAGCACCGCAGCCGCGAGGGCCGCTCCCAGGGCCGCGCGTCGCGCCCGACCTCCTGCCACCGGCCCTGCGGCGAGGACGGCGACGACGCCGAGCCCATGATCTGCTACTTCCGGTGGCGCCTCGAGCCCTACGTCACCATGGGCAGGGCCTGCGGCGGCTGCCCCCGGAACGTGTCCGACTGCACCGCCCCGCAGTGCGTGACGGCCGACGGCTTCGAGAAGGGCATCCTCACCGTCAACCGGAAGCTCCCCGGGCCGTCCATCCACGTGAGCATCGCGACGTCCACGCTGACATCGGCTGCGCAGTTGGACATACGCCGTTGACACGCCCTCCTCGCTTTTTCAGGTGTGTCTCGGGGACATCATCGTCGTGGACGTGAAGAACCTGATGCCGGGCCGCTCCACCACGATCCACTGGCACGGCGTGCGCCAGCGCGGCTCGCAGCACATGGACGGCGTGCCCATGGTCACCCAGTGCCCCATCCCGGAGAACGGCATCTTCCGCTACCGCTTCCGCGCCGACGAGATTGGCACTCACTTCTGGCACTCGCACGACGGCATGCAGAAGATGGACGGCGTGGTGGGCGCGCTGGTGGTGCGCGGCCCCGCGGGCAGCGACCCGCACACGCACCTCTACGAGCACGACCTGCGCTCGCACACCCTGGTGCTCACCGACTGGTTCCACACGCCCGCCGACCAGCGCTTCCCGGGCCTGCTCCGCAGGGAGAGCGGCCAGATACCCGACTCCTACCTCATCAACGGCCGGGGCAGCTTCAGGGTAAGTAACACAAATCATTCGAACAAGTTTTCGTTATTTTGGTTCGAAGAAAATTCTTTCGGTGTTCGGTACTTACAAACCTCTGTTCTAAATCGG